CTGTTGTCAGTCAGGCAATATTATCTAGTCTTTATGGGTAAATTTAAGTTTTTTAATAGTGACTGAGGAATTTTCATGCCCACAGAAGGTTATTTTTCCCACATTAAATTGGAGTAGTTTGTGTATATTTATTTCCTCTGTCTTTTGGAGCTATTCTTGTATAGTGTCACTACATACCTATCGAGTAGTTAGTTCAAGCAAAACAAAAACCTGAAACGCGTAGCCAAAGTGGACTATGTTTCTTCAAATGTAAACCACACAGAAACAAAGTTAAAATAATTGGGACTCTCTCACTCCACCAGAGAGCCTGTCTCATTTTTTTATTTCTTAACTGTTGGCCAGCATTGCAACTATGCACAGCAAACTAAAAATTGAGTCCCTGTACCAGTCAAACTGAGGTATAGATCCACAACTGGATGATGCTGTGCAGAATTACATCTTTCCAAAAGTCTTCTGGAGGGTAAAAAACCACACCTGTACAAACAAACATGAAAATATTTCTATTTGCTTCCTAAGGAAGCAAAAAATACTGAGTCTTTACAGTAAAAATCAATGTAAACAAGGTCACAAACAAAGCATATCTGATGCAGTAAATTCACTGCTTAATTCTGTTTTCTTTCTAGTTCAGAATTTCAGCATTAATAGAGCTGTATGACAAAGGAGGAACCAATGACTGTTATTTGAAGGATGTTGTGCCGTAACTAGTGATTCAATCTTTCATTCTACCCCACTAAACCCTAATGGATTTTTGCTTTGAAGACTATAGCCATATAATAAGGAAATAACAATATTAATCATATAGACTTGGTATTAGTCATGCCGGCATATTCTACCCTATTAAAATTTAGTGGTATTGATGATTCGTTTTAAAAGATGAACTCCTAATAAAATGACTAATACATCACAAGTATCTCAAGAAAAACAAATGAAAATATAAATTAGGAAGGTAAGTAACACATTAATGTATTTTAAAAATCTAACATCATAGTGCTTGAATAAATTCAAATAACTTTGGCACAAAAAATAATTTTTTAAAACGACAAAACCATATCTGAAACTGGATTAGAAAAGCAGCAGAATATGTTAAATATTATATGTTAAATATTATATGTTAAATATTATATGTTATATGTTAAATATATTATATGTTAAATATAATATATGTTAAATATAATATATGTTAAAATCCTAAAGCAAGGAATTTCCTCCACACAGGAAAAAAACAGTAAACTATTTACACCTGCTATGTTCTTTTCCACTTGATGGACACTTATTTTAAATCAATGCTGAAATATTTGACAGATTATTATTAGCTCTAAATTTCCTGAACAATAAGGACATTGTAAATACATTGTAGCAGATGTTTTTGTTAATTGCACCAGGGTAGCTATGGTGACATGAGCACTTTTTTTATTACCTGAGTCTCAAACAGAAAACAGCAGGTGTACATAAAAAGTAGTAACTTGGCCTCTTCTTAACAAAGGAAACACTGAATCTCCTAAAATTTTACATTTCACTTAAAAAATTACAAGTTGGAGATTAATTATGATCTTAGAAGCACCAGCTATGAAGCTTCAAGTCACCATTCAGTCTAGAAGCAAAAGGATTAAATGGCTGTGCTGTAAGTTATATAGTACAGGACCTCTGTCACAAAATATGAAAAGGTGATAATCTGTATGTGAAGGTTGCTGTTATCACTATCACCCAGCAGCACAATATTACTGTAGAGATGGTCTTCTATAAGAGATTCTGAAGTACTTCATATAATTCAGTGAGCTGAACCTGATAAAAGCCCAGGTCTCTGTTTCACAGTTAAGGAAACAAAGATAAAAACATAAAAACACACCTGCAAAGTCAGAATATCTGAGCTTTCAGATCATTTCTTTTCCCATTCTGTCTTACAAATACAATATGCTTGTTTTTCTACTTAAAAACATTTACAGAAAACATTACCAAAACTATTCATAACTGATTTTAAAAATCAATTTGAATGAAATCACAATTTTAAAACAAAGGATCGCAGTAAGAGTTTCATCAGCTGCATGACTGCAGTTCAGCAACTAGAATCCCTAACGGACAGCTTCATAGACCATACGTGACTCCTGGAGAGCCAGTACAGCTACAGCCCTGCTAGGAACACAGAGAAAAAGCAAAACAAGCAAAATATACTCTGCAGGACATCTCACGTCAGGACATCCTGAAAGAAAAATTTGTCTTGTGCAAAATGCAGCTGATGGTTGAACTGAAACATGGTGCCATCTATTGTAGCTAGCTCGATAGAAAATCTATCAAAGTCTAAATATCTATGCTGTCTTGATACCTACCTACCTCTACATGGGCTGTTCCTGTTGCTTTTGAAGGAATGTACCTGAGTCATGGTAACTGGCACAGATGAACTATCATTCTAAGTTAGAAACATTCCCTGATTTTTCTCCAAATACAAGAAATTATTTCCTAAGAAAAAATCAACCAGATGCTAAGATCTAAAGAAACCCCACTGACAAGTAATTACTATAGCTGATACTACCTTAAATGCTTTATTCACAACATTAAGAACAGAGGCATAATCTTAAACATGGCAGTGTTCCTGTGCCTGAAATTCTTCTTTCTCCATGGGTCCCGTGGATGAACTATAACCCTGGAAACAGTAAAAGCAGTAGATCTGACACAAGATTTTTGTTTAGCACGCAACTGAGTTGACTCATACTCTCCTACTCCAAGCCACTCAGTAGTATCTCAAGGGAATTAGGTCTCTGGGTTATGGCTAGAACCAGAATCACCAAAAATGCCCACATGTTCCACAAGAACTGCATTATGATGGTGATTGCCTATCTATATTTGGTTTATGTTTGAACAACAAGTGGAGGTAAGGGCTACAGATACATCAGTTTCCAGATTACAAACATAATACGTTCCAGCCTTATGAATAATCATATCCACTCATTGTGACCCCTTAAAAGAATAGGTGTGTGAATTGACAAGTTATGCATTGTTGGATCATATTAATTAGACAAAAGCCTCAACTCATAGGTCTGTCTATGCATAATACTAATTTCAGCCTTTTACAAGTCTTGTTGTGAAATGTAAAGGAGAGTCTACTAAAAAAGGAATAATTAATCAATCCATAGCAGAAAAAGCACAAACTCATGTAAATTAACAGGTATAATGGACACCCATTACTTTCTATATTCAGGTTCACACTGCATTTTTGGAGTCAAACTGCCAGCATATTGTTGAAAAATACTAGATTTTTTTTTTCCTCAACCTCCTCCCATGCGCATAGTTCACCACAGGGAGCATATATTTATTTTACTGTAGCAGAGCACTAAGACTGAAGAAATGTTACATGGTGCTCAGATGGGAATCTTTACAAATCAAGACAAACAACAAGCTGACATTTAGCCTTTCATAGAAACTCATAATGTGCTTTCATTATATGAATAATATCCTCACCTTCTACAAGCAGAAAACTAAGCTCAAAATTAAGTGATTTGCCTAAAGCTAAAAAAAAAAATCAGAAAGGACCTGTGTAGAGGCCTCTAGGAAGGTACACTAAGAGCTGACTAAAGCTCCCTATCCAGTCATCTAAGAGCTTTATCTGTTTATCTGTCTACATATCTACCTATCTGTTTGAAAGACTCGAGCTTCAAATTATAGCGTACACCTTGGGTAATAGGATACGTACAACACTGAATACGTAATTAGTGATAGATTTATGTATAATTGTATTAGCTAAGAGACTGTCTCAGGAAAAAAAAAAAAAAAGAAAAATATCCTGGTTTTCTTACCAGTTTCCAGTATGCCTTTGAGTGTGCATGTCTACACTTTTAGTAATATGTTTTTCTCAACTCTTGAAATTTCAACAGCCTGTTTACCATAATCATATATATTAAACCAAACGACTGTGGCAAGCTTATAAAAGTTTAAAATCTGATCGCTGTTGCATAGCCAAAGCTTAAAAGCACTATAAATATAACTATTAGCCTGTGGATTCAGAAGGTGGTATGACAAAGCCTCTGAAGCATGCATCATGATTTGCGGCACAAATTTCCAACAAATCCAGTGCACCAAAGCACTCTGAGGAACAGTGCAGTGATCTTATCTTTCAGCTTGCACTGACTTGTTCACCAGAACTTCGTCTTTATTAACTCTGGCTTTCTATAACTGGATGGCACGCGTTCAAAGATCTATCATATAACAGAAGGCTGTATGAGTGTCTTCGAATTGGCAAAGTAAGTTATAGAACAGCAAACTTGCAAATATAACATTACTACATTATTTTAATAATAGAGGTAAAAATTCTATGGAACCACACAGGATTGAAAGACCATTTCTTTGGTAATCTTATTTCTGACACTCATCTCTGAAATACAACTTTTCCTACTTCTGAAAGTACTGAAGAAGAGTTAAAAATTCAAATAGAACAAAAGTACATGATACTTTTAGCAAAACTGACTTACCAAGGGAACCAGCCTACTACAGAGCTCTCAAATATACAAGCCTTCTCTAGGAGGAATATCCTTAATACACATAAAGATAATAGCTTAACTGAAGGAGGAGAGCACCCTCATAGCTAACAGCCAGAGCACGAAAAGCAGACAGATAGGTTTTGGTTTTCAATAGGATTAAAATCGACCAAAAAACAAACTTCCAACATAGTGCAAATTACAGCTTTGAAATTAAAATGACCTCTCACAGCCAGAAAGGTGTAGCACTGCTGAAATTTGATAGGTATAAACCAGAAGAATAAATGTTGGACAACATATAGCTAAAATCTGCATAATAAAATAATAATCTTTAATATAAGAAGAGAAATTACAATAAATTTATGAAGAAGAGCTTGTATTAAGATCTCAGTGGTTTGCCATATTGGAAGGTAGAGTCATATTTGTTTAGGAATAACAATAATACAATGATACCAGTGCAATGCTATCAATGTACACTATCAACTCAATAACTACAAAAGATAAAAAGTAGACTAAAAAACCAGAAAAGCTCACCACTTCTTCATGCCTGCATTTTCTCACATTAATTCCATTAATCTGTTATTAAAAAGATAAAGAGAAGACTTACTCTACATTTCATAAATATAGAGTTCATTTCACTTTTCTAGAGAAGTATAAACAAAAGAACTTGTAATTTTACTCACCTGTAGAATTGCATCTCCTATAAAGAGCAAACCTGAAAGTTCCGCTGCAAACAGAAAGCATATTGTTCACTCATTTTGTACAAAATATCCCACATTTTGTGTACATGTATACCTATTCAATTTTTTAAAAAATTAAACAGAAACCTAAAAAAAATACTTTGAACTTCCAAATAAATTATAACTTTTTTTTTTTAAAAAAAAAATCCCCAAATACTGGCATATCAGTGTTACAAAAGCAGAGCCTTGGCAGTCCAAGTACAAGACTATGAAACATCTTCCCTCTGTCACTATAATCTTCCAGGCCATTACGGTGAAGTATGGTGTACTTTTCTGAATAGAAAATGACTGCAGCACTAGCTCCTATTCGCCTGTGAGAGATCGTTTCTTACAAACGCTGAGAAAAAAAGTAACAGGGAGACTTCAGGGCTACTTATGAATAACAATTTTAACTTGGAAGTTTCTACCAAAGATACTTTGGATGCTGCATCTTTGATAAACTCAATGGAGCATTTATCCTGGATAACATTCTCTCAAGAATACAAAATTACCAGCCAAACTGAATTTGATTTTTAAACTAAGCTGTACCCTACAAGTCAGAAAGGAATTTACAAAATCTAAGTTCACAGTTGCATTTTTAAAATACTGCGTTCTGTTGCAGAGCTATCTAGTGCAAATATACTTTATAAATACACAGGAAATATGACAAAGAATATTTAAATATCTATAAAGAAAGACATAATAACTAACATGAGAACCAAGAACTGTTAAAAGATGATATGGGATTGTCTTGACAATGTCTAGAAGAGGCTAGGACTGGACTTGATCCAAAAACTTTACTTATTTACATGAGTTTTAAAACTGTAATCAGTATTGACATAAATTATAGTACTCAAGTATGTCTGAAGGACTAGCCCTCCTAGCTAGATGTAACAAACAATGTTTAAATTATTGGAGAATAGACATTCTGATTTTTTTTCTTTTTTTTTTTTCTCTTGAATAAATGCCTACGTCAATATTCTTCTTCAGACACTGGTCTTCCATGAACTAACACTTCCTATATGACCTCACGTGCTAACTTAAACACCTTATATTCACCAGTGTTTTTAAGAACTGCGTCAAATGTCGCATTCTTGTTTAGAGGTCCTGTGAAAGAGCTGGAGTCAACTGAGAGAAAGGCAGAACCAAACCTGTCGTGTTTTGAGGTACAGGCTCTGGGTCAAATGACATTTTCTGAATCAAAGATGCCTAGTAGGGATAGATGGTGTGACACTTTGCGCATCACGAGACAGTAGTCTTCTACACAAGAGATGCCTCTCCAAATTAGTTCTCTAAAAATCAGCAGTATTTTTATTGAAAACAGTAATGGAGATTATATCTCAGCTAGGTATTGAGGTTAGAAATAATGCATCAGCTACTGCAGTGAAAAAAATGACAAAAATAAAAGAAAACGGTGTGCCCTTTTGTGTGCTCAATTAAACTGAAGTCCATCTTTCTTATTTTTCCTGCAGTGCTTAATAGCATTTTAATAACTAGTGTAGGTAATATGCCACATTATTATGTATTATATAGTTATATGTGTACTTAAAAGAACGGAGTCACAAGTATAACTTGTTAAGGTTAACCTTATTGTCTTCTTCAGGGGCTCATTCCAAGCTACACCATAGCTCCCTACATACAGCTGTCACTTCTGCCTCTCAGGGTTGGCTACAGTTCTCAATACACTGATTCCTTTGTATCTCTCTTTATTTGTGTGGGTGAATGTGAGATTTTTTTAATGCTGGCACATTTTAACTGTGCAGAAGCAGCATCTTAGAATTCCTGCGTTACAGATGGAGGGAAATGCTTCCAAGTTTAAGTTTCTGACCTTACACAAATGGACATAAACATACACAAACGTAACAGAGAATTACATGATCCTAGTACTGATTCACAGCCTTCATCTCTCATCATTGCACACATCAGGAGCCATTTGACCATTATCCACCTTTCTAGCACATATTATATCATTCCAATAATTTCAAAATACTGCCAGTTAAAACAGAAAAAAAACAAAAAACAATACAGAAATTCAGCACCAGCTCTGCTTTTATTTAAAATAACTGTGGTTAATTCCTTATGCAGTACCAGTTTTGCTATGTATGAGTAGCTGCAAAGGCTTGCACAGCATGGCTTCTAACGCTGAAATAATATAGGGATATTTTCAAGGTTCTGGTATCACCTACACCTGTCTGAGTACTACTCTACTAACCAGTATAAAAAGACATGTGTTCTCTGCTTGTGGCTTTAATGGCCAAACATCTGATCTGCTAGAGCTTCCTGGTAATAATAATTTTGAAAGAAAAGGCACAAAATCATCAACTTGTTTTAAAATCTGTTAAACATCTTCACTCTCTCAATACCTTCCTATTTCTCTCCCTAAAAACCCCAAACAGTTGAAGACTGCTGACAAAATACCCCAAATATAAACTCCTTACTTTTCCAGAGAACAGTTCTGAGGGAGAGATCATAACAACATGGAGAGAGAAATGGTACACTAGTAGCTTTTGTGTAAAACTTCCTGAAGAATTTCAAGACTTAAGACACCTTGCTCTAAAGACCATGTCAAAACACAATGCACTAATCTGACACTCACCTCTTTGTTCTTTGGAAATCTTAGAAATGACCACTGGAATATTATGTTCTGCTCCACCCTGAAAACAGAAGAAATGGCAATCTCATCAGTCACTTGAAATATATTTTTGCTTAGTTTTTTTTTACCCTTTCTCAAACTGCAATTTTCAGAGAGACTGAGAAAATAACTCTGTAATTATTTAAAAAAAAAAATAAAAAAATATTTGACTGGAATTAATTCCTTACTGCCTCTCACAAAGTTTTCAGTTGTCATCATCAGCTCAGGAAGTGAACTGAATGCTGTTGAAAATTCTGCAAGACTTGAAGGAAGAAGAAAAAGGACAACAGTTTCTGTGGACTCTGTAAGAGCTTAATGCATGAAATTATGTCCTGCAAAAGCAAAATGGTCATCACACTACAATGGCAGCCACACTGTAATTACTTAGCTTTCATGCTGGCAAGAAACAGGTTAACAAAAGCCCAAGAAAAGCAAGTTTGGACTTTTCATCTCAAAAGCAGCCTTTATTTGTTTCGATCTCTGACACACAAGCACAAAGAATGAGCAAAACAGTGGGATAAGTAAAGGGGAACAGAAAAAGCAACTTTAAGAAACAGAACAGTTGGTGTTCAATAAATTGGGGGAAATAAAGGAAAGCTGGATGGTAATTCAATAGTTCAGCAGCAATTCAGTGCTGTTACTTCATTCAATTTATCAGGCTGGGACTGGAAACTATCATGGTGCTCGAGAATAAAGTATTAAAAAGAAACCTTGAATAAAAAGGAAACTCAAAGGAAGAGAAAGACAAATGTACACAGAAACACAAATATTTTTCTTCTACAGAGAGCATCAAAGTGTAAGCCTGAATGTAACCTGTACAAACTCAGTTAATCAGAAAAGTCAGTTTGCCACACTGCTATTTTGTCTAGGCACCCTGGTTAAGGGTTTGCTTACTCTTCTCTTCAGCACTCACTTTCTTTGTTTGGAAACAAGGGCTTTCTTAGGTCCAATCATCCAGTGTCGAGGCATGGAAAAGACTGACATGGGTATTTTGATGGTCTAAGGTGCAATAACTGTTTAATCATGCAATAACCATTTGTTGGTATTTTTTGAAACAGACTGCACTCAACAGCTATTTCTGTAATGGAATAAAGATGAATTTCCTGCAAACCCATAGAATTCTAAATAGGATTAATGTTCCTTCTGCTAGTGGCTATCAATGTAAATGGTGCTAAAAAACCTGAGTTAAGAGGGACCTCAGTAATGTTACAACAATTACTTGTCTGCGAGAAAAGTTCTATTGGCATTGCATGAGATGAATGTTAACAAGCACAGAATGTATTGATATTTGTACCATGGACTGAGTATTCACTCCACAAAGACCATGAGGCTACCTTCACTTCAGCCTGGCTTAGAGATGCATTCAGACTAAATAAATTGTAGCATTGTAACTTGCGAACATCTTCCAGTGGCTTTCACCAGAAAAAGAGGAACAGTAAAAGCTGGCTTCATTTAAGAAAATCAGTTGAAGCTCACTAAATTGATAGGATTTAACCTACACCCTCCAGATTTTTCCTTAGTCACACACATTTAATTTCTTTCAGATTTTTCAAACAGAAAAATAATGGTGTCAGTTCCCTTCCTAAGCCTCCAATGTTACACAGACGTTGCACAATACAAGATACTTTAAGCTCAGGGAGGGAGTGTAGGGTTTATAGCTCAGCGTAGCTAACATAGGTTCTTTTCTCTCTGTAAAATGGCCTGCCTCCCTCCCTCTTTAGACTTAGCTCTCCAGTAAAGAGGGAATTTACTGTTATTACTAAGCCAGACTACAACACACACAACATGATTATCCCTCTCTCACTCACTACATCTACCTAAATCCATTTGCACTGCAGATTCGAAGGAGCATCCAGTCTTGTCTTACTGAAGAAAATTGTCTCCTCTCACTGTGTGATGGCCAAGATGAAGGATTCCTTTTAAATTAATCATGACCAGTATGAAGAATTCCTCTAATATGGACATGTTGTTAAAAACTCACAGCAGAGAAGAAACAAAAATATGTCAAATCATGGTGTTGAAGTCTTAATGGCTTAGACCTTTACTTGAACATCAATGCTTGTAATGCAAATTTTCTGTGTCATTTTTCCCTAAGCAGGCAAGGACAAGTCTGGAATAAAGGTAGCTGCCCACCTGCAGAAGTGGTCCTGCTAGAGAAGGCAGATGAAGCCTTAATCGCTGGCAGCTGTTTGAAGCTCACTGTCCTGGATGTTGCCCATTACTGGTGAGAGGTCATCCACAGCTCCTTTCAGAGTGTCCCATGATACGGTTCTAAAGATCTTTTCTTACCCCACGTTTTATGTAGGAGGTTCAGGGTGGTTTTTTTCTGAAATTTTAGTCATATGAAAAAAGGGCAACTGACTCTAGTAACTTGTACTGACAAATACTGTTTTTGTGTTTGGCTCCCAGTGTGGTAAGAAAATTACTATTTTGTTTTTCTAAGCAAAGGAAGCCTATAAAAAATTAGACCAATTATTGGACTTTAGCATCCTCAGAGTTAGACAATGTAGGACACATTTTTACCTCATACTAAAAGGCAACATTTATTCCACTAATTAAAATGGGCCTGTTTGTTTTAGTTTTAAGATCTAGTGACACAATATGGCTCATGCCTGTCAGGATAAACCATCTTTGCAAATGAAAAACGATGACTTTACACATGTTGCCTAGAGGAAGTAAAATGGCCTGCCTCCCTCCATGTAAAGCTCTGAACTGCGTACATACTACTTGACGTAAGCCAAAACTGTGTCAGGAATCACATTAGCAATTAAACAATACAGGCAATAGTGTGCCAACGTTAATTGGCACTTTAAAACTTTTTTTTTTCCTGATAGAATTGGATAGCTGGGACCAAAAGGCCACTTCCAAAATGCATTCAACATCAACTTCCAGAAGTACACAAGCCTTTAAGGAAGAAAAGATAATTTTTTCATATGAAAGCTAGACGATTCCTCTATTAATTAAAGATTTCTAGACTTTTAGTTTTTTATTGTTTTAATTTGAAATACAGAGAAAATATGTTAATAAAAAAGTCAGAGAATGCATGAAGTGGAAAAGACTCATCTGAGTATGTACACAGGTGTGAGCAGGACAGATGCACAACCTTGCTTTAGAGATTTTTTGATCAAGTCAGACTTTGAAAAGCCAAACAATCTCAGTAGATCTGCAATGACATTCATCATTTAAAAAAGAATGGTTAAAACAGGCAGGAAAATGGCACTGTAGGGTCCTAGTAGCCAGGAGTCAGATTGTAACTGCAAACATTAACTTGTTTAATGAGTTATCAATTTTACTGCTTATTTCTCCCAACAAAACTACACTCCAATTATTAACATGATGTTCTTTCAGAAGTCATACACTTAGTAGCTTCTTGTGTCAACTGTCTGCATCTCAAACTTGTCAGAGATGTGACTAAAATATTGCACCGTACTTACCAATTTCAAAATCTAATTTCACGTCTATTCTTTCACACACCAAGGTTTATTACTCAAAGTTTCATAGTGACTTCACAAATTAAAAATTAATTCCTTCTGAAGAGTGTAAAGTAGATCAGTTCTGCTTCAAATTCAATCACACTTTTACCATTAACTTCAGTAAAATGAAGTAGAGCAAAACATAATATAAAGGGGGGGTTCATTCTTTCAAACCTTCAAAGAGTGGATTATAAGGAAATTTTTAAAGGGCTTCACTTTGGATCTTGGGTAAAAATCAATATTACGTACAGATTTTTTTAAGCAGGATCTCTAATTTTTTACAAATGTAGTTGGAGATCCCAGGTTATAACACAAAAGAGAGTGCCCCTTATAGACAAGTCACCAAAAGATAACTAGACAATTTCATTTTGGAATTGTTAACCTTTTGACCTTCTGCTCTTCAGAGAAAAAAATGAAAAAATTCCAAGGGTCCAGAACATTTCAGGAGGGATAAGACACTTCCAAAGTTTACAGAAGAGAAAGTGAAGAAGTGACTTGATCATCTGAGATGTATGACAGAAAATGGGTGTTTAAGTTAGCAGAAAGAAGGCATGATAGAGCTGACTGCCAAAAGCAGACAACTTCATATCAAATAATGGGCAAATATTTTAAAGTGAGGGTCATTATTGATTGTACTGCTATAGCTCCCTCTCAGAAAAACTGAATCCTCTGATATACACGACCGCCAGAAGGTAAATCCTTACTTAAACCCCATCTTTAATCTGAGGGTAGTAAGACAGTAGGAACTATTGTAGAACATGGAGTTGTGGCAGACGGAGTTACTGAAATGACCCAGTCTCCTCCTCACTTCTACAGGGTGACTTGCAGACCTCTACTTTAACACACTATTACAACATAATTATTATTTAAAAATAATACGAAATATAAGTCCTTTAATAAAAGTAATAAACTGGTATTCACCTGCAAAAGGAAGCATGCCATGACAGAACAGTACCTTTTCAAACAGAAATCTGGCATTTTTCAGAATATTTGGAACTGACATGGACACTTCATGGCTTAACTAAAATGTCCCTTTCAGTGAGTCTTCAGGAAGTTTGCCTACTAAACTAGAAAAAACTCCATCACTTTAAGTTCCAGTTCTAACTTGTTTCTTACTACTAAGCTTAAAATGATAATAGCAGATTTTTTTTTTCTAGATTGTGTTAGCCTTCCAATTCCTTGTCAGTCTTTCTTTTTGAGAATGTAGAATTACTAATAAAGGAATCTACCAGAAGAGATCCCACATTTACTGATTTTAAAAGTAAATAATATAAAAAATAAATCATAGCGCTTGATATACGATATACATCGACAGAAGATCCCAAACCATAGAATTCTACCTGTGATTTTCATCACATAATCTAGACCATCCAAGTAGTTTGAATTTCCTTTGTTGAAAGAGATCTCTGTTCTATTTAATGACATCTGATGAAGAATCCACCACCTGATTGTTAGTTACTCCAAAAATTAAATCATTTATTCATGCCCCAATTTATGTAGCCTCACCTTTCCATTCTTAGGTCAATTTTGATCAAAACATCTATGCAATAAAACAAACCAAGAAATGCGTTTAAATAAAAGTATTTAATTTAAAGCCTTTATTTGTAAATTTAACTGCAGTGGCTTCTAACACACTTGATATAGTTGTTTACTGTATTTTTTTCCTTTTAAAACAGGATCTTACTACAAAAAAATCCCTTCTAGGCTAAACTCACCATCTGTTTTGGCACTTTTAAATACTTCTGCAACTGTCAAGAATTTTCTTCAGAACAATGGATATCTTGCTCTAAAAATTTAAGAATGTCTTGCTCCATTACTTTAAGAGAGATCGTTGCACATTCCCTGTTTAATTTATAATTCTCAATGATATTTTATTTTACTCCATGTACTTCATACTTAAATAATGTGATCTAGAGCTTGTCAGCAATTTTAATTCTAAAAGATATTTTATTCTAAAAGATAACCTATTTTAATGTGAAACTGAAAAATAAATCTTAGTGAGTCTTGATGAGATTTGCTCTCCAAACTACCCAAGTCCTTACTGTAAATTGTTACTTCTTAGTACCAGCTAAATAAAACCTCATTCACCCATGTACTTGATTTTAGACCAACACACATTACTTCATCATTATTCAGTGAACTGTAACCTGTAATGATACTGGAGGAAAACAACTTGTGTGCTCTTCACTAAGCTCATGAGAAACTTTGCGCACAAAATAGCAATTAGTTTTCCCTTGATAGAGGTATTTAGTGGGTCAACAAGATAACAGCAAGTGTACTAGGACATATTAAAATATGACTGGTATTTCTATTCAGCAGTATTCTTATCAATGACAACACAAATGCACATTAATCCCTCCTCTGAGTCACTTCTTATAAGGTCAGTACTAGCAGATGTTCACAGGGAAGTCTATACTTTCACTTTACATGTACAATTTAAGCCTCTTTGCATTCACATGAAGTACACTTCACTTTTTCCATTGCCATCTTGAGACTGAGGACTGCTGTGTTCAGAAGATAAACTGAGATTCAAAGCTAAAGTAAGGTTTTCAAAATCATAGATTATGATGAGAAAAATGATTAATCCTTCCTCCCTCTCCTTATCCTTTCCTCCCTCAGAAAGGATCATCTCCACTTACATAGCTCTTAAATCTTACTGAAGAAAGCAAAAATATGGTAACATGATAATTACTGTGTTTGTTTGATCTACAGTAAAATAAACAATATAAAAGCAGTAACACCTTCTGTTCCACTAATGAATAGCAGTGAATTAACATGATATTCTTCGTAGGAGAATTGATGATGAACTTATTGTCCATTCCATGTAGCTGCCGCTGTAATTTAGCATTCATTAATCACCACTTAAATTAGAGTGTTGTTGAACAAAAGCACTGTCTGTGCAGCTGAAAAGTCTTTGTAACATATCAAGTCTTCTTAGAGAGTTGCTCAGTTTGAATCTTAAGGGAATGGTCTTTCCACTGCCTTCCATTCCATAGGGCAGTGTAGTTGCTGGTTGCCTACTGTGACAGTATCTAACATCCTAGAATGTTTCGTCTCTTGCTTCTAGTCCTCTAAAATATAGTTGTTCTCATTAACTATATACAAAGACCCTTTTTGTGTAACATGGAATAATAGAAAAAAAACCCCACATTTTACCTTTATGCTTAATCCAAATCCTCCTACAGTCTGTCTTCTAATTGTTACTGTTCTTTCCTAGAAAAAAAGAAGTTTTGTTAGACTTAATGTTTTCTGCCATAACATCTATATTCACACTTCAAGAAGTTTTTTCTGCGCTTCCATCCTACATTGATTTTTCCTGTTTTAATAAACTTGTGAGTTCCTGTATTGTGAAAATCCCATGAAAGGTATTCTGCAGAGGTAAAATGCAACATCTGGAAGAAAAGCAGAGGTCCTATCTCAGACAAGAATTCATTGATTCAATTCATACCATATTAGCAAGTACTGCAACGCAATAAGAACACACCTGTGGCATTTAACAGTTAGTGCACAACACATGCATTTCAGAGGTCTTAATCTCGACTAGTCCTACATCGGACTCATATGCAGCTCAAGTCCTAAATGCTAAAGTGTGTAAACTGCACTCCTGTAGTACATGTTCCATGTAGTTTCATCCAAAAGGAATACAGCTTGTGTACTCCAACACCACCCAGCGATGTGAACCAAGGCATGATAAGGGCACATGATCCAGAAATCAATTTCAAAGCGCAGTCTTGATCCAAATTAAAAAACTTACATAGTCACTGTTAACCTGAGAGATATGGTTAAAAAATTGCAACGAATGATTTAAAGGTTGTTGTTGCAGAAAGAATTACTTCAAGCAGCCAATTTTTTTCCTTTTATTGTGCATCCTAAAATTTGTTCTATAAAAACTGTAGGCTAATATTTGTCTTATACATGAACATTTACAAAATGGACTTTGTTTTCCTAGTGTCTCTTGTTGACATTACTCCCAGAGACCATTTAGAATTAGTCAATTTGGTTAGCAGTAAAAAAATCTTAGTAGTAGATACACCATATGTCCAGATACAAATGTATAGAATATGTAGATTTTTTAATCCCCTCTACATGTGTTCTACGTTTTGTACTCATTTCCATATATACAGCATAATTTAAGTATGCATAATATTTTACCTATATACATTCTTATATTTCAGTAGAATCAGCATAGATTGCCAGTGTCAGTCAGATTTGAAAAAGCCTCTCATCAGAAACACACCCGTGACAGAGGCTGAAATATCTACAGAGCTATTTTTCCCTCTTTACTTCATATACTGAGAATAGAAAGGAACTATATTATCACATAAGAGTTTTGGAAAACTGATATTACTGAATTTGGGGGAAAATCCAGTTGCCTTCTTCCTTCTTCAAATTTGTGACAAATATGAATTGTGCAACTGCAGAAAGAGCAAGCATAAACTAGTCCAATGTTTTGGATGGCAAGACAAAATGGATCACTTAACATGAGATATTCCATTCATTTATTTAGGTTAATGCTTGTAAATGTTTAATACAAGGAAGAAGTATACATTTTTTTTGTCCAATGGTCAAATGTTTCTTTTTTCTTTTTTTTTTTTTACATTTGAAATGTATAGAAAAATATACTCTTATATTTGTAACTCACAAATGAATGTGCAGCATGGCAACAGGGCATTATATGACTCTCCTGTTTCATCCATGTGCCTCTGCACTGTTCAGAGGGACCAAAAGAGTGTTTTCAGCTCACAACTTACACCTTCTAGGAAGAAACTTTCACAATGAAGTTGCCAGTAACGGGGTTCAGTACACAATCATATCTCATTTCAGACCACAAACTGTGCTTAGGCAACCTTTTGTCTGTCAGAATGCTTCAGGTGCAGGTAACACTGCAAATAAGATAGGCTACAGCCCGATGTAAGGAATATGAAACACTCAGCTGAGGCTCTGCTGGCAACTGTATTTTTACTGGTAACTCCACTTCATTTCCAGCTCCAGCTTGTGTTGAACACTTAAGCACAGAATCTTGACTTGTACACTCTAGTCAACACCTTGTAGTATTTTTTTACACTTGCTCAGCTCAAATAGAAAATACTTGTGTTACTTAAAAAGAGGATGAACAGCAACCTTTTAATAAAGATAAACTAGTTTAACAGAATTTCATTAATCATGAATGGAATAAAGAATGTCACACTTTACAATTATATTCCAAATGAAGTAGCGTGCTCAGAGAAAAACACAAATCTTCATTAAAATTTCTATTTCATAATATGTAATCATTGTAAATAGTGACATCTGAAAATATTCTAAGCTAGAGTTATGCTAAGCCTAATAGAAAGATGTCCTGCAGAGTATTTCTATTCTTATTGTCTTACCACAACACACACACAAGTAACCATATAAACGAGTCAATAAAAATACTCTTTCTGTTATTCACTCAAGCAAAGGCAGAGTCAAGCCAGCCTTGAAAACATCTGATTTGGGGTCTTCTGTGAATTCACTAGTGTTGTCTAACAGGAAAAAAGAAATATGGTAAACTAGAGTTTGGCATTACATTTAAGAGAAAGAAATGTATACCCCAGAAATACTTTGCTAGCATAGCAGATTACTAAATAGATAAAACTGTGTAAAAGTAAGCAAGGGGAAGAGAAAAATTTCAACCAACTCTAATTTTTTAGTACAACATAATCTATCAGATGGTTTCGTCTGATATTTCTTCTAGGTTCTTGTCTATCTCCACTGAGAGTAGATATTAACAGTTTTAGGTCTGGATTGTAACTGAATTGAACTTCAAATACATAGTGCAAAGTAGACCACCCAAGTGACGTATTATGTGTAATGAAGGTATTGCACTGAATTTAACCTGGGCTAATTCACTACTCAGTCTTACTATCAAGAAAAATTACTTTACACGTATCTTACGTGTAAAGACTCATATAGTCTTCACAGCAGAAGAATTAAAAATATTCAAATAATTAATGATCTTGAAAAATACAAATTCGAATTGCAAGAGTCATATATTAGCAAACCATCAATAATTCCCTAGTCTGCAGCTGCAGACATAAACAATATAGTGAAACAGCTTATCCAGACCAGTCAGAAAAATCGTGTATTTCAGGATTTTGGCTTAGGATCATCTCCTCTTTTTTTATCCAGAAATTTAGAGGAAAAATGTTAGGACTCATCTGACCACAGCTAGTCCATCCAAAACTCAGCCATTGGTCAAGGCAAGTTTTCTCCTGTAATCAATAAAGAAAAATAAATATAGTCAATCCAGGTGAGTCAAAGCAGGTGCTTAAATTAGGCAATAATCCTTTTCATCATCTATGTCCTCCATTGAGTATAGAGACAGGGTGTAAACTTAAACTTTGGAAAGATAAATTTCTCCCTTTAAAGTTGCAAAGTAACTTGAATAAGTATTTTGTTGGAAGATATCAGCTTTGAAATGTTTTGCCAGAGACTTAAATCTGAGTTTTTCTTAGTAATGTGCATGACTTGCAAGTGATTTTTTTAAGTGACTCTTAAGAAAATACAAACTGAGATTCATTTTCAGTGCCATCATGAACCAAGGTGAACTGAATAAATCTTGTCTGCAAAGCACTATATTTTAATGTAAAATGTATTTTAATATAATGATTAATACAATAAAGACATCTGATCAGCAATTTGAAGCTAATTATTTTCTTCTGATTCCTTAATTAGCATTCTGAATGATAAAGAGCAGTACTAAAATGTTTTTCAATAGTCTAATAGCTTTAAGTTCTTCAAGTGTTTTACAACTATTAATTAATAAAATACAGTGAAAACTTTGGAAGACATCAAATTTTGTACCAGTATATGAAGTGCTCTAAGTATCCCAATTGACCATTTATGCTGTTCCAGTCTAAGGAGAGCACTCGTCCATTGATTCCAACTATCTGCTTAAAATGAAATCTAAAATTCTGACAGTTGTAGATTTGTCTAATTAAGTTTTTCTTAGTTTCATTTTCCCCTCTGTTTGTATGGAGTAGTATCCTACGTTTGAATTTCCAATGATTTTGCAAATTCCAAAAGCAACTTCACCTCCAAGTTTACAAAATACAACTTGTTTCTGATGAAAGCTACTTAGATCAATACCATGACTATCACAAAATGTCCTGTGAGCTTGTAATTCCATTATCAGATTTGTTTTCTACATTACAACAAATAGAGGGAAAGTTAGAGCTCCTAGGATCCTTAAATGTGAGATTCAGAGCAGTGTTTTAGAAGATGCTTTCTGGAACAGAACAAAAGCAGTTATCAATTTATTGAAAAACTCAAAGCTGCCGCCAAGCTGTCAGCATTTTCCGTGCTTGTAACTCAGAAAATTCCTCATCCACACATACGTTCATTGACTGGAAAGAAGAGCAAAGAGATTTGCCAAAAAAATTCTTCCTCAGAGCTATGAAATGGAAGCAATGTTGTTTAGACTTTCTTTAAAGAGGTATTAAAATTGCTCCTTAAAATCCGTATGATCCTCTTTAGACCCCAGACATCATCTTAAATGAGATTGGAAGTGAAGAATGACCATTTGAGCACCCAGCAACAGTGAACAGAAAAGGAAAACAGATAATCTTAGGGAATCATTAACTATTTACATTTATTCCAGATTTAATGTTATTTTTAACAATTAAGGCACAGTAAAGATTCAAATACTTCCATAATGACTGGTATGTGATGTAAAAGAAAGTTTCCAGTTATTTAAATGCCTCAAAAATAATGGTCAATTAGTAGTACTTCCAACTTTTTTATTCTGTATAATACAAAGCAGTAATCTAATATGATTGAATAATCTGTCTCTAATAGTCAAATAACTGTTAAACAAAATGACAAAGAAACTTCAAAACTCTTAATAAAACTGAGTTAGTGGCATGTGAAAATTTGATGTACAATTACTCAACCTTTTTTCTAGGACATAAATATTAAATTTTCAGTTTGGGACACTGGTGTGTCTGGCTATTCATTTACAAGAGTAAAGGTATGAAGAATTAATTTCTCTAAGTCTAGACAGAAAACAAGACCTCCCTTTTTGCAGCAGACAGAAGTGACACCGAGGTACTACACATCTGGAAGAAGCTGAATGGGTGTAGAACAAGCCAGTAGATGGGAAAAGAGGAATACACATGGAGAGGAATCTACAATAGCACAGTGAAAAGGGAAAGAAAGAAGGAAAATGTTTTAATATAATTTTTAAAATGTAA